TAGATAGATAGATAGATAGATAGATAGATAGATAGATAGATAGATAGATAGCCCAACCTCCCCAGTCCATCACCTTGCCTTTTAGACTAGCTACTACCAACTGCACTCTACTTCAGAGAGAGACCCCGGTTGGTACATTAACGTGGAGATGAGAACAGCCCAGTCATTCTCACAGCTGCACAATGAGGAAACATCTGTCCTCCCCACCAAAGTGCATTACTCTTCAGAGGAAAGGCTTTCTAAGCCCCCAGATGGCAATTCCACAGGCATTGACGGAATTTCACGCTTGTTTCAGATTAGGGAGAAAAACATGTACAAAACAATCGATAAAACCATCTACAAACAAGCTTTCAGCCCTGAGCCCCTGATAAGGTGTTGGAACGAGTGTCTGGACAAGTCTTCCTTTCACGCCAGAAGGACACAGGCGGAGGAGTTCAATCGGAAGAACTACTGGAAGAAGAGGGGTATTGCTATTATCCCTATGAAGTTTTCAGTTGGCTTTGCCGCAACAAGCTACCACCAGGTAAAGTTCATACATGGCACATGCTAAATGACCCTCATGTCTAACACAGTCTTGGTCTGACCGGTGTGTACCCGTGTTCAGAGCATGCTGCATTCCCCCAGAGCACCAGGCCGTTCCCTGAATATACATAGGAGAAATATCCAGAAGTCCCCTGAGTGGTTACACGTGGCAGTAGGGAAAAGGTCACCATGGCAAGGAACTTTGGTGATGGCTGGGAGCGGGTGTGGCCCCGGATTCCATGTTATTCAAAAGAAACAGGAGCCCGCGGGGCCATTGTGTGTTTTCTGCTGAGAAAGGGGTGTCCCACCTGCAGGAATCCTTGGGTTGCCTGCCACATCTCAGGCAGGAAAGTCATTCTGCTGATCCTCTGATGACCTACCTACCCAGCACTTCAAGCCCCCTCCCCAGAAATCTGTTGGCTATGATGGGGAAGAGGGGGTGGGGTCCAGAATTGTCCCAGGTGAGCTGGCAAGAGGAAGAGGCAAGTCATCCATCCACAGGTGCAAGGGAAGCAGAAAAGCATCACACGCATGGACAAGACCTCCAAACAGTACCAGACCTGAATCCTAGTGGGTCCCGGGAATCTGAACACTGGTTAGGAACCTAGGAAGAGCTGTTGATTACTCATTGCTATCAGTCAGGTCAGAAAACCCAGCAAGAATTGCACCAGCAAGGAAGAGGCTTGGTGCAGCAGAATGCTTTGTGTGTGTGTACCGTTGTTTGTTCCCACTACTGATGACAATCTTCGCCCAGTCACGCGCACACACACGCATGCACATGTGCACACTTGCCCTGTGAAAGGAAATAAAAGAAGCAGTTGATCCAAGCCCTTAGTGAACTGGAGTCAGGAGACCCTGAGATACCCTTGGCCTGCCGTTTGCTAGGCGTGCGACTTTAGAGTTCTTCGGCCTTTCTGAAAAACTTCAGTTCCCTCACCTGTAAAGTGAGACTAGCAATGACATTCTCTTGTGATTAGTAAGGTCAGGCTGAGAAAATTGTTAGAGAGCACTTGGCAAGATTCCTGGAATATTCTAAGCCTGTTCCAGGAGAGCCCAGACACACTTCTCAGGGTTCTTGCTCCCCTGACAGGTAGGATAAGGTGCCCCCGACTTCTGGGTCATACCCCTGCCTGGGCCCAGTAGGACCATTCCACAGAGACACAAGGTTGTTGTCACGTCTACCAGCTGGGCTGAATCAATGGCAGACACACAGCAGACCTAAGACAGCCATCCATGCGGTTTTTCTTGGCCACCAAATGTTATCTCCACCCGACCGGCTTGAACAGCAGCTGGGAGGTCAATAGATCAATTCAATCGTTGTACTGACTGCCCAGTGTTAACCTAGACCGCGCAAGGATGGGGTCCCACAGATGATAACCCATGTCTGACACTCCCTGCCAATGGTGTGCCCAGGCCAGTCACACCTCTGCCTAAATGACTGCCAAGGTGAGAGTTTTTCACTCTTCCCAGTTAGATACAATGATTTCCTAAAGCAAACACAGGAAAAGTCCTTTCCATTTTATTATTATAACGCCTTATAGAAACTTCACAACTCAGAACCCACCAATAGAAGAGTTGCCCAGGGCAAAATACTAGGGAGGGACCGAGAAGTTGTCTTCTAGGTATTCACAGAACTCAGGAAGGTGGGGTGAGGCTGAAGTACCCCCTCACCGCCACCACCACTTACAAACACACATGCACACAGGATGACCCCTCACCCTCAACCATCCGGGCACCTCTGGGGAGTCTTGTTAGCAAAGGAAGTACCAGGCCAGGAACCAGGAACAAAACTCAACGCCTAGTCTCTCAAAATGACTGTACACCTCCTTTTGTGATCGATATACCCCTGGCCACTTGTCACCTAAACCACAGCCCCCCTGCTGTCACCCTGGGTGCCAGTTTCTTATCTCACCACATAGGAAGCAGGCCAGGTGCTGACTTTCGGCCTCCAGCTTCCTTCCCCACACAGCTTTAAACTGATGTACCCAAGAACCCCTCAGTCAGGCATGGGAGGTGTCATCCCAGGTCAGCTGGTGACTCACAGGACTGAAACACCCCCTCCCTAACCAGGCCGCAGGCCACAGCGAGTAAATACTATCATCAGCACCATGCATCTCCAAGCTCGCCCCCCACCCCTGCTGCCCAGCCATCCTGGAGTTTCCTGGCATCTCCAGACTGGGAGGGGAATCACCGCCTTTCCGTTCTATGTAGCGTCTCTGTGACCCCCAACCTGAAGTTCTCTCTAGGACACAAACTCACATAAGGCCACCGGCCCTGCTTGGAGAGGTTCGGAACAGAGCTTGCCATGTCCCTGGGGTGTCCCGTGATAGCTATAGCAAAACTGCCACATGCTGGGCGGATCAAAAAAAAAAAAAAAACGCATTCCCTCACAGTTCTAGAGGTTAGAAGTTCAAACTCAAGGCATCAGGAGAGTCGCTGCCCCTCCAAAGCCTCCGGAGAGGAAGCCTTCCTCGGTTCTTCCGGCCTCTGCTGGCTCCTGGCCTTCTTGGCTGAGGCAGTATCCACTGGCTGCTTCTATCTTCACAGCCTGATGCTACCCCGGAGTCTTCTGATAAGGACAATAGTCATTGAATTTAGGGTCCCCTTCTACCAGTCTGGTCATCTCAAACAATCGCTTCTGCAAAAGCGATGTCCAACCAAGGGCACATTCTGGGGTTCTAGGAGGACACGAATTGGAGCGGCGTGAACCATGGTTCCACCTAGGCCTTGAAAAGAGGACATGTGGAGTAAGTGTCGGGTCTTGTCCAGATAGGGTTGGACGTGGCAGAGACTCTTGAATGAAGATGGAGGCGGGGAGGGTCCTAAAAACTGGACAGGTAGAGACCAGGCTGAGCCAGTCAGGAAGTGAGGACAGCAAAGTCGGAGCCAGGGTCCAGGAGGAGTGGTGGTGACCCAGGGTCAAGGCAAGAAGAGACAGGACTGCCACGGGGGAGGAAGGATGGGAGACCAGACCCCAAAGGACCTCTGTGACAAGGAGCGGGGCTTTCAGTTGCAGACAAGAAGGAGACTCGCTCACCCCGTTCGCTTCTGCCTCTGGACTCCGTTGTCACTTCAAGGGACTCTGAGAAGCACCAGAGGAGTTGGGTCTGACAGGCAGCCCTGCTCTCACAGAACCCATATTCCACACCCTCACGCCCCTGAGCATTCCGCCCCCACAATGACTGGTTCCCAGTCTGTGTCCCCACCATCTTGTGACTCGCTTAAAGGAGAACCTCCCCTTGTTCGTGCTTATGTGTCTAAATGCAACTTAGGGAAGGAAAATAATTGATTCAGTAGCTTCGCAATCAGCCCTTAGTTTCAGGCAAGGGGATGACTTTCAGATAGTTGAGACTAGATGGGAGTGGTGGCTCATGGCTTTGATCCCAGCACTTGGAGTACTAAGAAGGTGGACCTCTGTCGGTTCAAGGCCAGCTTGGTCTATATAGCGAGTTCTAGACCAACAAAGCCTACTTAGTAAAAAGATTTTGAAGAAAAAAGAAAGAAAGAAAGAAAGAAAGAAAGAAAGAAAGAAAGAAAGAAAGGAAATAAAACAAAAAAAAACAAAAAAGAAAGAGAGAGAGAGGAAGGGAA